GAAAGGCACACACCTGTCTATATAAGGTCCCACAGTTGAAAATGCATGTCAGAGCAAAAACCAAGCCATGAGGTCGAAAGAATTGTCCGTAGAGCCCCAAGACAGGATTGTGTCGAGGCACAGTTCTGGGGAAGGGTACCAAAACATTTCTGCAGCATTGAAGGTCCCCAAGAACACAACGGCCTCCATCATTCTTAAATGGCAGAAGTTTGGAACCACCAATACTCTTCCTAGAGCTGGCCGCCCGGCCAAACTGAGCAATCGGGGGAGAAGGGCCTTAGTCAGGGAGGTAACCAAGAAAATTTATACATTTAATTTTTTTTTTTTTTTTTTGTCATTTAGCAGACGCTCTTATCCAGAGCGACTTACAGTTAGTGTGTGCATACATTTTCATACTGAACCCGATGGTCACTCTGACAGAGCTCTAGAGTTCCTCTGTGGAGATGGGAGAACCTTCCAGAAGGACAACCATCTCTGCAGCACTCCACCAATCAGGCCTTTATGGTAGAGTGGCCAGATGGAAGCCACTCCTCAGTAAAAGGCACATGACAGCCCGCTTGGAGTTTGCCAAAAGGCACCTAAAGACTCTCAGACCATGAGAAACAAGATTCTCTGGTCTGATGAAACCAAGATTGAACTCTTTGGCCTGAATGCCAAGCGTCACATCTGGAGGAAACCTGGCACCATCCCTACGGTGAAGCATGGTGGTGGCAGCATCATGCTGTGGGGATGTTTTTCAGCGGCAAGGACTGGGACACTAGTCAGGATCGAGGGAAAGATGAACGGAGAAGTACAGGTGTGTCCTTGAGTGGCCCAGCCATAGCCCGGACTTGAACCCGACCGAACATCTCTGGAGAGACCTGAAAATAGCTGTGCAGCAATGCTCCCCATCCAACCTGACAGAGCTTGAGAGGATATGTAGAGAAGAATGGTAGAAACTCCCCAAATACAGGTGTGCCAAGCTTGTAGCGTCATACCCAAGAAGACTTGAGGCTGTAATCGCTGCCAAAGATGCTTCAACAAAGTACTGAGTAAAGGGTCTGAATACTTATGTAAATGTGATATTTAAGTTTTGTATTTTTTTAAAATTAGCAACAAAACCAATGTTATCAATTTTAGAATAAGGCTGTAACGTAACAAAATGTGGAAAAAAATGTGGAAAAAGTCAAGGGGTCTGAATACTTTCCGAATGCACTGTATTACTCTAAATACCGCAATTCATGTTGTTAAGTTCAAAAGAATACAATAAAAAAATTGCTGACACCACTCAAACCAATAAGGGTTCGGAACTTTAAAGCCAATTATCTCAGAATCATATTTTTGCAGATGGAGCCTTATAGTGCCAAGCTCTCCATATGGTACATAGTCGTTGGTTGTTTTGTTTCCAACCCTTTTAATCTACGGTGCAATTCATATTGTGCAAAGTTTCACAGTATTCACCATTTTATAGGTAAATAAAGGCATAGCGATGCTAAATATTCTAATGAAATGCATGGAAATGATCCTGTTGCTGTACCTTGTACATGTTCCACAGTTCAAAGTTCAAATCAAGGCGAATAAGGACATTTGCATGACAATCATGATGCCCTTTCACTGCTTGTCATACCATTAAAAACAGACCGCATTGAAACTGGTGAGATGCAGCCCAACAATCTTTGAGCATTCATTTCTCCTACAGACCCCTCCCATCGGCTGAAATGGGCAGATCCTAATAAATTAGATATTAAAGTGACAGTTCAGTTCGAAATCAAAGTTCCTCAGCTGCTATCAGGCCTAAAAAGTGATCTAATAATGAGATCAGTCCATGTCCACACATTCGGTAGCGTAGATGCAGCTATATGGACTGGAAACATCTGACAAATTTGGCTTTTGAAGTGAACTACCACTTTAAGATTGATGTATGTGCTACTATTTGTGACTACAAATTAGATATTTATTTTCTTTGACCTGAGCCGTTATTCTGCCTCCTCCTCTATGTCTAGAACAAAGATGATTGTCTAAGATGGGTTTGTTGTTGGTTTAACTATTGTTTTCTGTGATTACTGTGTGAATATGACATTTCTTCTCTTTGACAGGAGATTCTATGGCGCTTCTGTTCTGACAGATGTGTGAGGTGTTGGCGAGAGATGACTGTGTTCACTTACATTTAGCTACATTGTGATGATTGTAAATACACTGTTACTTCGATATACTGTAGGCCTCCATGGTTCTGTCTGGAAGAAAACACCTGAAGTGAAGGTCGGCCATTTTGTGTACCTTTATGTTGTGTTTGACTGATCATATATCATATCATATATACAGTTGAAGTCGGAAGTTTAAATACACTTAGGTTGGAGTCATTAAAACTTGTTTTCAACCTCTCCACAAATTTCTTGTTAACAAACTATAGTTTTGGCAAGTCGGTTAGGACATCTACTTTGTGCATGACACAAGTTATTTTTCCAACAATTGTTTACAGACAGATTATTTCACTTATAATTCACTGTATCACAATTCCAGTGGGTCAGAAGTTTATATACACTAAGTTGACTGTGCCTTTAAACAGCCTGAAAATGATGTCATGGCTTTAGAATCTTCTGATAGGCTAATTGACATCATTTGAGTCAATTGGAGGTGTACCTGTGGATGTATTTCAAGGCCTACCTTCAAACTCAGTGCCTCTTTGCTTGACATCATGGGAAAATCCAAAGAAATCAGTCAAGACCTCAGAAAAAAAAATTGTAGACCTCAACAAGTCTGGTTCATCCTTGGGAGCAATTTCCAAAACGCCTGAAGGTACCACGTTCATCTGTACAAACAATAGTACGCAAGTATAAACACCATGGGACCCCGCAGCCATCATACCGCTCAGGAAGGAGACGCGTTCTGTCTCCTAGAGCTGAACGTACTTTGGTGCGAAAAGTGCAAATCAATCCCAGAACAACAGCAAAGGACCTTGTGAAGATGCTGGTGGAAACAGGTACAAATGTATCTATATCCACAGTAAAACGAGTCCTATATCGACATAACCTGAAAGGCTGCTCAGCAAAGAAGAAGCCACTGCTCCAAAACCACCATAAAAAAGCCAGACTACGGTTTGCAACTGCACATGGGGACAAAGATCGTACTTTTTGGAGAAATGTCCTCTGGTCTGATGAAACAAAAATAGAACTGTTTGGCCATAATGACCATCGTTATCTTTGGAGGAAAAAGGTGGGGAATGCTTGCAAGCCGAAGAACACAATCCCAACCGTGAAGCACGGGGGTGACAGCGTCTTACATTTACATTTTAGTCATTTAGCAGACGCTCTTATCCAGAGCGACTTACAGTTAGTGAGTGCATACATTATTATTTATTATAATTTTTTTCATACTGGCCCCCCGTAGGAAATGAACCCACAACCCTGGCGTTGCAAACGCCATGCTCTACCAACTGAGCTACATCCCTGCCGGCCATTCCCTCCCCTACCCTGGGCCAATTGTGCGCCGCCCCATGGGTCTCCCGGTCGCGGCCGGGTACGACAGAGCCTGGATTCGAACCAGGATCTCTAGTGGCACAGCTAGCACTGCGATGCAGTGCCTTAGACCACTGCGCCACTCGGGAGTCTTGCTGTGGGGGTGCTTTGCTGCAGGAGGGACTGGTGCACTTCACAAAATAAATGACATCATGAGGAAGGAAAAGTATGTGGATATATTGAAGCAACATCTCAAGACATCAGTCAGGAAGTTAAAGCTTGGTCATTGTCCATTTGGGTCTTCCAAATGGACAATGACCCCAAGCATACTTCCAAAGTTGTGGCAAAATGGCTTAAGGACAACAAAGTCAAGGTATTGGAGTGGCCATCACAAAGCCCTGACCTCAATCCTATAGGAAATGTGTGGGCAGAACTGAAAAAGCGTGTGCGAGCAAGGAGGCCTACAAAACTGACTCAGTTACACCAGCTCTGTCAGGAGGAATTTTGGCGGTTTTGGAGCAGTGGCTTCTTCCTTGCTGAGCGGCCATTCAGGTTATGTCGATATAGGACTCGTTTTACTGTGGATATAGATACTTTTGCTGTTGTTCTGGGATTGATTTGTACTTTTCGCACCAAAGTACGTTCATCTCTAGGAGACAGAACGCGTCTCCTTCCTGAGCGGTATGACGGCTGCGTGGTCCCATGGTGTTTATACTTGCTTACTATTGTGTGCACAGATGAACGTGGTACCTTCAGGTGTTTGGAAATTGCTCCCAAGGATGAACCAGACGTGTGGAGGTCTACACTTTTTTTCTGAGGTCTTGGCTGATTTCTTTTCATTTTCCCATGATGTCAAGCAAAAAGGCACTGAGTTTGAAGGTAGGCCTTGAAATACATCCACAGGTACACCTCCAATTGACTCAAATGATGTCAATTAGCCTATCAGAAGCTTCTAAAGCCATGACATAATTTTCTGGAATTTTCCAAGCTGTTTAAAAGCACAGTCAACTTAGTGTATGTAAACTTCTGACCCACTGGAATTGTGATACAGTGAATAATAAGTGAAATAATCTGTCTGTAAACAATTGTTGGAAAAATTAATTGTGTCATGCACAAAGTAGATGTCCTAACCGACTTGCCAAAACTATAGTTTGTTAACAAGAAATGTGTGGAGTGGTTGAAAAACAAGTTTTAATGATTCCAACCTAAGTGTATGTAAACTTCCGACTTCAACTGTATGTCTGTCAACGTGTTATGGCGTTAAAGTGAATGTTATTACATCAGGAATGCAATTATGTCATTAAGACCTGCAAAACATTATCCACTAATTTCAGAGTGTGTTTGGTGTGTGTGTGTATGTATGTATGTATATACGTGTATGTTGGTGTGTGTGTGTGTGTATGCACGTGTGTGTATAGGTGTGTGTTTGTGTACCTGTTTCGCCTCCTCCCCCAGGCTGTCCCACATGGAGGCCACGATCTTGGACACGTCCCCGAAGGTGGCGTTGGGGTTGGCGCCCTTGATGGCCGCCTGGGTGTCCCTGAAGAAGAGGGCGTAGGCCGACACAGGCTTGTTCGGCTCGTTGGGGTCCTTTTTCTTCTTCTTCTTCTGTGGTTTGGGTTTGGGCTTCGTCATCTCCGAGGAGGGCCGCTTCTCGCCCGTCATCTGGAAGAAGATAAAAAATAAAATAAACGTTATTAATTTGTCTCTCGTGTCTTTCTGTTTGGAGACTGAACTTTGTAGTTCCTTACAAGAAGACGACTGCTCACTCACAGAGAATGTACTGTATGACACAGGTAAGAGATGTGGTAAACTTCAACTGCTCCCTTTCGACAGTGCTCTCCACAATGGTAGGCTATCAGACTTGGTGTGATGTCACTTGTGTCTGTCATTATGTGCATACACCTCTCTACTACATGAGGAGATCAACAGAACACAGTGACAAGACGCTCCCCACTCCTCTCACTTCACACCTCCTTCCATTGGTAACGTTTCACTGCCTCACGTAGACAAATGATCATGGTCAGTGTGCCAACTCATCCACATCTATGCCCAGCAGACAGCTCAAACAAGCTTGCATCCCCAACATCAAGAGATGAGTTGCCAGTCAAGTGTAAGAATAAGTATGACTTACCTCTTATCTTCTCACTAGGTTAATAGACAATAATGTGTATGAACTTTTGCAGCGAAAAACAAAATAAAACTAATTTAGACTTTAATGAAAGTGTGCATTTTCATCGTAATGACCGTTTGATTGAATCCATTCCAAGTTATTGAGACATCCACAGTCAAAATGCAAACAACTCCCCTTTTCAACAATGATTTGCAGTGCAGTATTCGGTTTCATTTAGAATTATCAGTAAAGAAACATTCAATGTAATAAGCTAAACCTGTTCACATCAAACACAGAACGTTGTATTTATATGTAGAACATGTATTTACAGTATGATACTATTAATACTCTCTTGTTTTGAATTGTACTCTATGAACAGAAACTGAGATTCAATCTCTCAAGTCTAATATAACACTACCATTATCTATTCCAATTGAAGCTGTTTTTCTTCAGCAATACCTCGTTTACATTGTCAAAAATTATTTATCAAAACAACACAAACACATTTCTTCCCGTACTAGGTAAAAATGTACATTTCTCACCTAACATTCCTGACGACACTCTTCTTAAAGAGTTTCATTTAGATAATAGATTCCAACTTTTGTGCAATGGAGCAAAATGTATTAAAAATCACCTTTGTTTCTACTAGCTTTGATGTGGATGTTGACTACATTGGAGGCTAATGGAATTACATACTGATAGGGGAGAAATTGTAATCTGGGTTTTTTCATACATGAACAGTCTTGCACAGCGGGGAGCTTGTATGGTGGAGAAAAAATTGTGTTTCAGAAAATTTGCTGGTCTAACGTTGTATCGCTGTATGCTTGTGTACAGATGCTGATAAATATGCAACAACACTATAGAAACCCCCGGATTCAATTATACATTCATATTCCTATTTTATAATCCCCCAGGTAAATGGAAAACAAATCCAGTGAGAGCCCTGATTGTTGAGTCATTTCTGTATGCTTTGTTGTATGGATTTACATAAATTAAATAATGTCCCTTATTGAGTATGTATTCCTGTGTCCTTGTTTCAAATGAAAGAGCTGTGAGGGATTGAGGCACACATATACTCCCTCAAGCTTTGCTGTCCTTTTCAACATGTTTACCCCACAGCTGAGAAACACATCTATTGATAGGTGTGTAGAGTTCTAGAAGACTACAATACACGATGTAGAACACTTCTGCTTCAAGTCATTTGGTTTGGAACTACAGTATGTTGCCTCAAGTTCTGTCTCCCACATCTTATAGCAACGTCTTACAGACGAACACAGAGGAAAAGATCCAAATGCATCCCTGTTGCCATTGCTGCAATATAAAGAATGGAACACAGCTTCTGTGAATCACTATGGATAGGGCCCAGAGAACAACAATAACACCAGTTATGTGAACATACATAAAGCAGTATAATCGACAAGGGAATTTGAAAAAAATAATCCACAACATAACTGGAAAGGGAGTAAGAAGTTCTTTCTCCATCTCCTTTCTTGATGTGACAATTAACAATGTGCAATTAAGGAGATGACATGGTGATAACGGATTCTCAGCAAATCCCACATTACGGGGACATTTCAATTGAAATAATTTAGACAGCAAAACAATTAGAACAAAAAGGGAAAATAAAAAGCTACATTGCTTTCAGTTTGAACTAGGATTAGAAGCCAATCTAAAAAATACCAGATGATCCCTAATTACCTATGAGATTGGAGATATGTCTGTGCTCATAAATATACTACCGCGCTTAAAACCCCACAAAGTCGCTTGTTGAATAATTGCCATACATTCACTGTCATTCTGCCATACATACACAAATTAAACAACGTGACAGCAAGTCACACAACCCTGTCTGAAAGAAAATATAGTTATAGGTTAACGACAATTTGACAATTTTCCTTCCACCTTGCAACACCCAACACCAACAAGAGCAACACCCTGACTTTCCCTAGGTTCAGCGAAATCAAAGAAGCATTGCCACATCAGTACCTTATGGTGGGAATCGGTTTCCTCTTCCTGTGTGGAGCTCGAGGGAGAGGGTGTGGCTGATTTACTTCCGGGAGGTGAGGGAGAACCATGGGTAAGTGCACTCCGGCCAACCTGAGAGTTCAGTTGGGACAGTGCACTCATGGAGTGATGGGACAGTATCCTAGGTGACATGTTTATCAGATGGGGGTTGTGACGGCTGAGGTCATAATGTGAACCGTCGTGGCGAGTCATCTCCTGGATCTGGGTGAGAGAAGAAGACCAGCTTTACTACTTTAACTTTATCAATTGTACATTCCCAATTTACCAAAAAAACTTGAAGCCTGCATTAATGAGGGCAAACGGTAGGTAGGAGATCAAAGAAAGTGAGTGTGCCGTTCCGGGTTCACTGGTCCCACTGTTCTCCTCAGGACTGGTCGGAAGTCAACGTATCTAGATTTTCCCACTCTCCTCAGTCATGACTGAGACACACACCATATACGTTCCTGCACTAAACTGCACTTTTCTGCCCATTTTTATCTTGATTACGCTTTTGAGGCAAGATTTGATGTGTTGAATATCAAGTCCAGTCCTGTGGTGCAAATGACCTTGAACAACATACAGTATCATTAATCACACCAACAATCAAAGACTATCTGTTCCTTTATCTTACTTGTGAATTCATTAAAAAATATAGTTTTTTTATGGAGATCTGCACTGCCACCCTTGGACTTAAGTCAACACCCTCTGATGTCCCTGCCTGGAATTTACGATCCAAACCAATTAATCACATAACCATTTTCAAAGTGAGGTGGGAGGCGTCTTGCCACTGTAGAACATCATTAGGATCATTTGGGACAAGCAGGTGGCAACATGGCCAACGTTTACTCAATTTTCCACTGAGTACCAGGATGGTTCAGAGCACAAGCTGTGCTTATAGAATAATAGCCTATAGACTACAATTACTCTGGTTTGTCATTCAAGTAGAAAAAACGCTGCTTCCAAGTTCATTGTTGGTAGTTGACCCATTAAAGGAGGATACACGCTTTCAACTGATTAATGAGTCCTTAGTAGTCTAACAGATCTTCTGAAATAAAATTAATTCAAAATCTATCAGGACGTACACCAGCCAAAGCAGGCGTTAATGCAATCATAATTGGGGAATGTTTGTCAATTTACAGCTCCGAAATTGATCAACTAGCATTTATAAGCCCTGTAAACATTCATGAGTTAAATAACACATTACACATTAGTGCCGTGCTAAAAATATCTAATTGCAGGGGCCCTAGCATATGAGATCTTGATAAACACAAGTAGAGCCTCTGAGATGAAGGGTCTGCAGTGCTGTAATTATAATTGGCCTCAGTAGGCTGCTGAGAATAAAATGTACTGGTAATGTAATGTTGTACAGACTCTCGGCTTTGAAAACCCCCAAAATATTTACAGGACGTAAGATTTTTTTTGTTTGCCTCAACAGCAGCTAACAAAAAGCTGCCTGAACAAAGACATTCCTTTTGCTTTTCAAATAACCATGCTCTAACCTCACCCCACCCAAAACACAACCTTGCAACCTCAAATCATAATTCAAACCACCATCACTCCACTTCTCAAACAGCTTTAGCTAAAAAAGAGAAAGAAAGAAAAAAATCCATTCTTTTTCCATTTTTGGTGGAGCTGCTCTTTAAGGGTCTCCACAAACCAAGAAGCGTTGAAAAACCAATGAATCAAACACGAATGGCCTATTATAACTACAGCAGACCTATTTCCATAGCAACAGCCTCTTGGCGAAATCGTCACCCTTTAATCTGAGCACACTTATGTTTCATATAAACAAACGAAATAGACCTGCGGAACAGAAAAGTAGCAGAGTGGCAAGGTACAGGGGTCCTCTGTAGTTTCCTATTGGGAGCTATCTGTTTTAATAGAACTGTGGAGGAGTTCTTGGGACAAAAGGAATTACCCATTTAATTCTTATTGTTAGAGGAGGAAGATGGAGAAGCAATAGCGGACTACTATCAATCATTTTCTCTTTCAACCAAAACATGAATAATTCATAATATTTGTTTGGAATCCAGTATAGACACATTCTGCCACTATTCATATTCTAACTGGTTCTTCATAGCATTTGCTTAAATTCTAGTTCCTTTTCCATTAAAGCTGAGTACTCAAATGTAAAATATGAGGCATAAAAGCCAGATGTTGATCAGTTGATCAATCACTTGAAAAGCAGGATATTGTAATATTTCTACATGTCAGGAGCTTCAGGCTGTGAATTTATTCAACATTTTAACTTTTAAAATAGCTAATTTCCAAAATATCCTCTCATCTCTTCATATATTGCAAATAAATGGTGTCTCTTTGTGAGAAATGGGTTGAATGAATGTACCAAGGTTAATACACCTTGCACTGGGTTCAGATGGTGTGTGCAAACACTGTATCGACTGTATTCCCTTGTGCAATCACCATGCCAACACAAGAAAATAGCAATTAAGGAAGCAAAAGGTACACTGAGAAGTAAACAGCAGAAGCATTGTGTCAATTGAAACTAAGGGTAAACATATACAACATACACTGTAGTTTATTTTGCATGTGATCAATTCAAAGAAATTTAATTTGGTCCTCTAAAAATTAAGGAACAGTAGTACATGGCGCGTCTGGTAACTACACTGAACAAAAATATAAACGCAACAATTTCAAAGATTTTACTGAGTTACAGTTCATATAAGGAAATCAGTCAATTGAAATACATTCATTAGGGCCTAATCTATGGATGTCACATGACTGGGAATACAGATATGCATCTGTTGGTCACAGATACCTTTAAAAAAAAAAAGTGATGCGTGGAACAGAAAACCAGTCAGTATCTGGTGTGACCACCATTTGCCTCATGCAGCGCGACACATTTCCTTCACATAGAGTTGATCAGGCTGTTGATTGTGGGCTGTGGGAAGTTGCTGGATATTGGCGGGAACTGGAACACACTTTCGAACACGTTGATCCAGAGCATCCCAAACATGCTCAATGGGTTTCATGTCTGGTGAGTATGCAGGCCATAGAAGAACTGGGACATTTTCAGCTTCCAGGAATTGTGTACAGATCCTGGCGACATGGGGCCATGCATTACCATGCTGAAACATGAGGTGATGGCAGCGGATGAATGGCATGACAATGGGCCTCAGGATCTCGCCACGGTATCTCTGTGCATTCAAATTGCCATCGATAGAATGCAATTGTATTCGTTGTCAAATTAAATCAAATGAAATAAAATGTTATTTGTCACATACACATGTTTAGCAGATGTTATTGCTGTCACGGTCGTCTATGTCGTCCAAGTATGACCAAGGCGCAACGTGTCCAAGAAACATGACTTTATTTAGCAAAGTAACCAAAATCCAAAACAAAAGACGACTCAATGAAGTCCACGGTACACAGACCGAAAACGGAACAAAAACCCACAAAACCAAGGAGAAACCACACAGTATAAATATGGCTCCCAATCAGAGATAACGAGCCGACAGCTGACACTCGTTACCTCCGATTGGGAGTCATATGACTAATCAAGCACAATCACCAAACATAGAAATCAACAACCTAGACACCCCAACATAGAAATACACCCAAACAAAATGAAAATGAACAACCCTGGCTCAAATATCAAAGTCCATGGAGCCAGAGTGTCACAGTACCCCCCCCTAAAGGTGCGAACTCCGGGCGCACCAACATAAGGACTAGGGGAGGGTCTGGGTGGGCGTCTGTCCACGGTGGCGGCTCTGGCCCCGGTCGTGATCCCCACCCCACCACAGTCACAACCTGCTTCAGTAGCCTCCTCCCAATGACCACCCTCCAACTAACCCCACCTGGACTAAGGGGAAACACCGGACTAAGGGGCAGCACCGGACTAAGGGGCAGCACCGGGATAAGGGGCAGCACCGGGATAAGGGGCAGCACCGGGCTAAGTGGCAGCACCGGACTAAGGGGCAGCACCGGGCTAAGGGACAGTACCTGACTAAGGGGCAGCACCGGACTGAGGGGTAGCTCCGGACTGAATGGCGGATCCTGGCTGGCTGGCTCTGGCGGATCCTGGCTGGCTGGCGGATCCGGGCTGGACGGCTCTGGCGGATCCTGGCTGGACGGCTCTGGCGGATCCTGGCTGGACGGCTCTGGCGGATCCTGGCTGGACGGCTCATGGCTGGCTGACGGATCTGGCTGCTCATGGCTGGCTGACGGATCTGGCTGCTCATGGCTGGCTGACGGATCTGGCTGTTCATGGCTGGCTGACGGATCTGGCTGCTCATGGCTGGCGGAAGGCTCTGGCTGATCCTGTCTGGCGGACGGCTCTGGCTGATCCTGTCTGGCGGAAGGCTCTGGCTGATCCTGTCTGGCGGAAGGCTCTGGCTGATCCTGTCTGGCGGAAGGCTCTGGCTGATCCTGTCTGGCGGAAGGCTCTGGCTGCTCCTGTCTGGCGGAGAGCTCTAGCGGCTCCGGTCTGGCGGACGGCTCTGAAGGCTCATGGCAGACGGGCGGCTTTGCAGGCTCAGTACAGACGGGCAGTTCCTGCGGCGCTTGGCAGACGGACAGTTCAGACGGCGTTGGGCAGACGGGCAGTTCAGACGGCGTTGGGCAGACGGACAGTTCAGGCCCCGTTGGGCAGACGGGCAGTTCAGACGGCGTTGGGCAGACGGACAGTTCAGGCCCCGTTGGGCAGACGGCAGACTCTGGCTGTCTGAGGCGCATCGTAGGCCTGGTGCGTGGTGCCGGAACAGGAGGTACCGGGCTGAGGACACGCATCTCAGGGCTAGTGCGGGGAGAAGCAACAGGGCATGCTGGACCCTGGGGACGCACCGTAGGCCTGATGCGTGGTGCCGGAACTGGAGGTACCGGGCTGAGGACACGCATCTCAGGGCTAGTGCGGAGAGAAGCAACAGGGCATGCTGGACCCTGGGGACGCACCGTAGGCCTGATGCGTGGTGCCGGAACTGGAGGTACCGGGCTGAGGACACGCATCTCAGGGCTAGTGCGGGAAGCAGGAACAGGACGCACAGGACTCGGGGAACACACAGGAGGCTTAGTGCGTGGTGTAGGCACTGGTGGTACTGGACTGGAGACAGGAGGTGGTGCCGGAAATACCGGACCGTGCAGGCGTACTGGCTCCCTTGAGCACTGAGCCTGACCAACCTTACCTGGTTGTATGCTCCCCGTCGCCTGACCAGTACAGGGAGGTGGAATAACCCGCACCGGGCTATGTAGGCGAACCGGGGACACCA